GTTGTGCTATACTTACCTATGCTGTGCTATACTTACCCATGCTGTGCTATACTTACCTATGCTGTGCTATACTTCCCTATGCTGTGCTATACTTCCCTATGCTGTGCTATACTTTCCTGTACTGTGCTATACTTCCCCATGCTGTGCTATACTTCCCCAAGCTGTGCTATACTTCCCTATGCTGTGCTATACTTCCCTATGCTGTGCTATACTTTCCTGTACTGTGCTATACTTCCCCATGCTGTGCTATACTTCCCCAAGCTGTGATATACTTCCCTATGCTGTGCTATACTTCCCTATACTGTGCTATACTTCCCTGTACTGTGCTATACTTCCCTATGCTGTGCAATACTTCCCTGTACTGTGCTATCCTTCCCTGTACTGTGCTATACTTCCCTGTACTGTGCTATACTTCCCTGTACTGTGCTATACTTCCCTATGCTGTGCTATACTTCCCTGTACTGTGCTATCCTTCCCTGTACTGTGCTATACTCCCTGTACTGTGTTTATACTTCCCTGTACTGTGCTATACTTCCCTGTACTGTGCTATACTTCCCTATGCTGTGCTATACTTCCCTATGCTGTGCTATACTTCCCTGTACTGTGCTATACTTCCCTATGCTGTGCTATACTTCCCTGTACTGTGCTATCCTTCCCTGTACTGTGCTATACTTCCCTGTACTGCTCTATACTTTCCTGTATTGTGCTATACTTCCCTGTACTGCGCTATACTTTCCTGTACTGTGCTATACTTCCCTGTACTGCGCTATACTTTCCTGTACTGTGCTATACTTCCCTGTACTGTGCTATACTTCCATGTACTGCTCTATACTTTCCTGTATTATGCTATACTTCCCTGTACTGCGCTATACTTTCCTGTACTGTGCTATACTTCCCTGTACTGCGCTATACTTCCCTGTACTGTGCTATACTTCCCTATGCTGTGCTATACTTCCCTGTACTGTGCTATACTTCCCTGTACTGTGCTATACTTCCCTATGCTGTGCTATACTTCCCTGTACTGTGCTATCCTTCCCTGTACTGTGCTATACTTCCCTGTACTGCGCTATACTTTCCTGTACTGTGCTATACTTCCCTGTACTGTGCTGTACTTCCCTATGCTGTGTTATACTTCCCTGTACTGTGCCATCCTTCCCTGTACTGTGCTATACTTCCCTGTACTGTGCTATACTTCCCTGTACTGTGCTATACTTCTCTATGCTGTGCTATACTTCCCTATGCTGTGCTATACTTCCCTGTACTGTGCTATACTTCTCTATGCTGTGCTATACTTCCCTATGCTGTGCTATACTTCCCTGTACTGTGCTATACTTCCCTGTACTGTGCTATACTTCCCTATGCTGTGCTATATTTCCCCATGCTGTGCTATACTTCCTTGTACTGTGCTATATTTCCCTATGCTGTGTTATACTTCCCTATACTGTGTTATACTTCCCTGTACTGTGCTATACTTCCCTATGCTGTGCTATACTTCCCTATACTGTGCTATACTTCCCTGTACTGTGCTATGCTTCCCTGTACTGTGCTATACTTCCCCATGCTGTGTTATACTTCCCTATACTGTGTTATACTTCCCTGTACTGTGCTATACTTCCCTATACTGTGTTATACTTCCCTGTACTGTGCTATACTTCCCCATGATGTGCTATACTTCCCTATACTGTATTATACTTCCCTGTACTGTGCTATACTTCCCTATACTGTGCTATACTTCCCTGTACTGTGCTATACTTCCCTATGCTGTGTTATACTTCCCTGTACTGTGCTATCCTTCCCTGTACTGTGCTATACTTTCCTGTACTGTGCTATACTTCCCTGTACTGTGCTATACTTCCCTGTACTGCGCTATACTTCCCTATGTTGTGTTATACTTCCCTGTACTGTGCTATACTTCCCTATGCTGTGTTATACTTCCCTGTACTGTGCTATACTTCCCTATGCTGTGTTATACTTCCCTGTATTGTGCTATACTTCCCTATGCTGTGTTATACTTCCCTGTACTGTGCTATACTTCCCTGTACTGTGCTATAATTCCCTGTACTGTGCTATACGTCCCTGTACTGCGCTATACTTCCCTATGCTGTGTTATACTTCCCTGTACTGTGCTATACTCCCTATGCTGTGTTTAAATACTTCCCTGTACTGCGCTATACTTCCCTATGCTGTGTTATACTTCCCTGTACTGTGCTATACTTCCCTATGCTGTGTTATACTTCCCTGTACTGTGCTATACTTCCCTATGCTGTGTTATACTTCCCTGTACTGTGCTATACTTCCCTATGCTGTGTTATACTTCCCTGTACTGTGCTATACTTCCCTATGCTGTGTTATACTTCCCTGTACTGTGCTATACTTCCCTGTACTGTGCTATACTTCCCTGTACTGTGCTATACTTCCCTGTACTGTGCTATATTTTCCCTGTACGTGTGCTATACTTCCCTGTACTGTGCTATACTTCCCTGTACTGTGCTATACTTCCCTATGCTGTGTTATACTTCCCTGTACTGTGCTATACTTCCCTGTACTGTGCTATACTTCCCTGTACTGTGCTATACTTCCCTATGCTGTGTTATACTTCCCTATCCTGTGTTATACTTCCCTGTACTGTGCTATACTTCCCTGTACTGTGCTATACTTCCCTGTACTGTGCTATACTTCCCTGTACTGTGCTATACTTCCCTGTACTGTGCTATACTTCCCTTACTGTGCTATTCTTCTCCCTGTACTGTGCTATACTTCCCTGTACTGTGCTATACTTCCTTGTACTGTGCTATCCTTCCCTGTACTGTGCTATACTTCCTTGTACTGTGCTATACTTCCCTATGCTGTGTTATACTTCCCTGTACTGTGCTATCCTTCCCTGTACTGTGCTATCCTTCCCTGTACTGTGCTATACTTCCTTGTACTGTGCTATACTTCCCTATGCTGTGTTATACTTCCCTGTACTGTGCTATACTTCCCTATACTGTGCTATCCTTCCCTGTACTGTACTATACTTCCCTGTACTGTGCTATACTTCCCTGTACTGTGCTATCCTTCCCTGTACTGTGCTATACTTCCCTGTACTGTGCTATACTTCCCTGTACTGTGCTATACTTCCCTGTACTGTGCTATACTTCCCTGTACTGTGCTATACTTCCCTGTACTGTGCTATACTTCCCTGTACTGTGATATACTTCCCTATGCTGTGCTATACTTCCCTGTACTGTGCAAATACTTCCCTTACTGTGGCTATACTTCCCTGTACTTGTGCTATACTTCCCTGTACTGTGCTATACTTCCCTGTACTGTGCTATACTTCCCTGTACTGTGCTATACTTCCCTATGCTGTGCTATACTTCCCTATGCTGTGTTATACTTCCTTGTACTGTGCTATACTTCCCTGTACTGTGCTATACTTCCCTATGCTGTGTTATGCTTCCCTGTACTGTGCTATACTTCCCTATGCTGTGTTATACTTCCCTGTACTGTGCTATACTTCCCTATGCTGTGTTATACTTCCCTGTACTGTGCTATACTTCCCTGTACTGTGCTATACTTCCCTGTACTGTGCTATACTTCCCTGTACTGTGCTATACTTCCCTGTACTGTGCTATCCTTCCCTATGCTGTGTTATACTTCCCTGTACTGTGCTATACTTCCTTGTACTGTGCTATACTTCCCTGTACTGTGCTATACTTCCCTGTACTGTGCTATCCTTCCCTATGCTGTGCTATACTTCCCTGTACTGTGCTATACTTCCCTATGCTGTGTTATACTTCCCTGTACTGTGCTATACTTCCCTGTACTGTGCTATACTTCCTTGTACTGTGCTATACTTCCCTGTACTGTGCTATACTTCCCTGTACTGTGCTATACTTCCCTGTACTGTGCTATGCTTCCCTGTACTGTGCTATACTTCCCTGTACTGTGCTATACTTCCCTGTACTGTGCTATACTTCCCTGTACTGTGCTATACTTCCCTGTACTGTGCTATACTTTCCTGTACTGTGCTATACTTTCCCTGTATTTGTGCTATACTTCCCTGTACTGTGCTATGCTTCCCTGTACTGTGCTATACTTCCCTATGCTGTGTTATACTTCCCTGTACTGTGCTATCCTTCCCTGTACTGTGCTATACTTTCCTGTACTGTGCTATACTTCCCTGTACTGTGCTATACTTCCCTGTACTGTGCTATACTTCCCTGTACTGTGCTATACTTCCCTGTACTGTGCTATACTTCCCTGTACTGTGCTATCCTTCCTTGTACTGTGCTATACTTCCCTGTACCTTGTTATACTTCCCTGTACTGTGCTATACATCCCTATGCTGTGCTATACTTCCCTGTACTATGCTATTCTTCCCTGTACTGTGCTATACTTCCCTGTACTGTGCTATCCTTCCTTGTACTGTGCTATACTTCCCTGTACCTTGTTATACTTCCCTGTACTGTGCTATACATCCCTATGCTGTGCTATACTTCCCTGTACTGTGCTATACTTCCCTATGCTGTGCTATACTTCCCTGTACTGTGCTATACTTCCCTGTACTGTGCTATACTTCCCTGCACTGTGCTATCCTTCCCTGTACTGTGCTATACTTCCCTGTACTGTGCTATACTTCCCTGTACTGTGCTAAAATTTTCCCTGTACTGTGCTATACTTCCCTGTACTGTGCTATACTTCCCTGTACTGTGCTATACTTCCCTGTACTGTGCTATACTTCTCTGTACTGTGCTATACTTACCTATTCTGTGCTAAACTTTCCCATGTCGTGCTATGCTATCCTACGCTGGCACCTTAATATTTTTCCCAGGATGCAACATTCCTAATGTTTGCTTTCAATTTGCGTGTCAACATCTCCAGATGTTATTAACAGCTCGATACTGATGTTTATTGGCGACTGAATTGCTTGATAAACATGCATGGGGGGTTTGCCCAGAGCACCAGCAATTTAAAAAATGTTAAAATAAGCAAAAACAAGGCAAATAAACACTTACCAGGAGCAATTTCCATACGCAGCTTCTGGCCTGCTTGAGGTACACCAATGTTAATAATGAATCATTAGGTTGGCACTTTATTTTAATGTAAAGTTTGAGTCGTAACGAAGAGTAATTTGTTGGATTTGTTGGGGGATCTGAGATGCACTTTTTTTTAGCACGTGATGTGTAGACCAAGAGGTAGAGACCAGGGGGTTGCAGAGCTGGAGTCTGGGGGTTGCAAAGCTAGAGGTTGGGACACGGGCTGCCTTAAGTACCCGAGGAGAGTGGTTGGAGCTGCTCAGCTGCCGAACTGGAGAGAGTCACAGCACATACTGAAGGCAGTGTCCCCTTCACTACGTGGTAAACACACACGCAAGCGCTCACGGTGGCACACACACACACACACACACACACACACACACACACACACACACACACACACCACACACACACAGAAGTGTCCTTGTCTGCGGACGATGTGAAGTTAATGAGAAGAATCAAATCGGATGAGGATCAGGCAGGACTACAAAGAGACCTGGACAGGCTACAAGCCTGGTCCAGCAACTGGGCTCCTTGAATTTAACCCTGCCAAATGCAAAGTCATGAAGATTGGGGAAGGGCAAAAAAAACCCGCAGAAAATAAGTTTAGATGGCCAAAAGTCGCAAACCTCACTCAAAAAAAAGATCTGGGGAGTATAACACCGACATATCTCCTGGGGGCACATAAATCAATAACTGCTGCAGCTAGGGCCCCCGGGAAAACCCCGGATAGCGTTCCGTCCCTCAGAAGGAGCCCTTTTCAAGACTCTGATCCTTTTACGGTCACCCATACTGGAGTATGCAGACCAGTTTGGAACCCACACCTATAAACACGCGGGAAATTAGAGAAAGTGCAAAGGTTTCAAAAAAACTGTCCCAGAGCTAGGGGGATGCCTCGAAAAAAAGGGAGGAAATGGGGCCTGACCCCGGGGGCCGGGAGGGTCGGGGGAGAAAAGAAACGACATAAAAAATGCGCGGAATAGACGGGGTGGACAAAGACGGGATTTCCAGAGAAGGAACAAAACAAAGGTCAAAATTTGGAAGTTGAAATCAGATAAAAAAGGATGTTAGGAATTTTCTTCGTCATAGAGTATCAAGCCAGGAATAGCCTAAAAAGTGAAGTAGGGGAGGCGGGAAACCCATAAATTTTAAGGCGAGGTTATATAGCTCAGGGAGCAGGGAGAGGAGGCCCCAGTAAATCAGTGAAGAGGGGGGCCAGGAGCTAGACTCGACCCCTGCAACCAAAAATGGGAGTAAAATAGGTGAGGCACACACACCACACACACACACACAAACACCACACACACAAAACCACACACACTTTAAACCCACACACCACCCATACACACACACAAAACACCCACCCACACACACACAACACACACACACAAAACAACCCCACACACACCACACACACACACACAAATTTTTTAAAATTGAGACACGCAACAAGGGGTCACAACGGGAAGTTAAATCCGAGATCACAGGGTGTTGGGAAGTTTTTTCTTCATTAGGAGTTGCGGGAAAGGAGGAACAATCTGGAAAAAAGATTTGGAGGCAGGACCAAAAAAGTTTTAAGATGGGGTTTTCTACCGGGAAGTAAGAGGTCCTACCGGGAAGGTAAGAGGTCCTACCAAAGGTAAGAGGCCACCAGGAAGGTAAGAGGCCCACCGGGAAGGGTAAAGGTCCTACCGGGAAAGGAAGGCCCTACCGGGAAAGGGTAAGGGGTTCCCCCCGGAAGAAAAGGTCCTACCAAGGAAAGAGGTCCTCCCGGAAAGGAAAAGAGGCCCCTACCGGGAAGGTAAGAGTCCTACCAAAAGAAGAGGTCCTCCCCGAAGGGTAAGACCCCTACCAGGAATTTTAAGGGGTCCCCCCGGGAAAGGAAGGGGTTTCTACGGGAAGGGGTAAGAGGTCCTACCAGGAAGGTAAGAGGTCCTACCAGGAAGGTAAGAGGTCCTACCAGGAAGGTAAGAGGTCCTACCAGGAAGGTAAGAGGTCCTACCAGGAAGGTAAGAGGTCCTACCAGGAAGGAAAGGGGGGCCCAAACCAGAAGTAAGAGTCCTACGAAGGAAAAGAGGTCCACCGGGGAAGGTAAAGGTCCTCCCGGGAAGTAAGGGGCCCTACAGGAAAAGTAAAGGTCCTACCAGGAAGGAAAGGGGGTCCTCCCGGGAAGGTAAGAGGTTCCCAGAAGGTAAGAGGCCCCTACCAGGAAGGTAAAGGTCCTACCAGGAAGTAAAGGCCCCACCGGGAAGGTAAGGGGGTCCTACAGGAAGGAAAGGTTCCCAGAAGGAAGGGGCCCCCCCCGGGAGGTAAGAGGCCTCCGGAAGGTAAGGGTCCTACCAGGAAGGTAAGGGGGTCCTACCGGGAAAGTAAGAGGTCCTACCGGGAAAGGGAAAGAGGTCCTACCGGGAAGAAGAGGCCCTACCAGGAAGGTAAGGGGCCCAACCAGGAAGTAAGGTTTCTACGGGAAGGAATGAAAGGGTGAGGAAGTTTAAGGGTAGAGGTTTGCGCATCCACAGTCGCTTTTTAAGCATGTTAGAGCGTACAGTGTCCCCATTTTAACACAATTAAAGTGAAAAAAGGCAAAAAAAATCATCTCATATTTTGGGCGACATTTTTAAAAACAATAAACCCCGACGTCACATATTTCACCCCCACTAAAACAGTACTACTAGTATTTTTTTACTACTACCTACAACGATTATACATCCCTTTGCACCCGTCAATACCCATATATACCCTCGTCTCCCGTATTGTTTTGCAGCAGTTTGAAAAACCCTCCTGGAGAGCAAAACTTTTGCCACAATAAAAATACGCTTTTATTGCACTTGTGTCCTTTTCCCTAACATGTTAAGCTGACTTGAGCTCTGGGGTTAAAAAAAAAAGTGCCTGCACTCTCGAGATGGAAGGGGCCTCTGTTTGCATACCGTTCGGCCCCCTGAAGAAAAAAACGGAGTTGGGGAATGATGGTACAGTGTTTCCTTGGGGGCCAAATTTGCCTAGAAAAGGGAAAACAGACGGCCCTTACCAAACTTTTACACTTTTCCCCCCTACTAGTATTCATCAAAATTCCCCCCCTGAAAAAAAATCATTTCTGGTAATATCGGGGGGGGAAAACCATTCTTTTCTGTACTTTTAATTAAAATCACCAAAAAAAAAAAAGTCATAGGGAACTTTTAAACCCAAAAAAAATAAAAAATTAAAACATGTCCGTCACTGTCAGGTTATCTTTGAGTTTATAACAGCCGATAGAGGTTTATATATGTTGGAGGCGAGGGGGGGGAGGGGGGGGGTGGGGAAGGAAATACTCTCTCCCCTCTCTCTCTCTTTCCCCCCTCTCTCCCCTCTCTCTCTCCCCCTCTCTCTTCTCTCTCCCCCCTCTCTCTCTCTCTCCCCTCTCTCTTCTCTCTCTCTCTCTTCCCTCTCTCTCCTCTCACAGGTCATTAGAATGCGGGGGAGTAAGGAAAGGGGATAAACCCCCCTCAACAATCAATAAAGTCTCACTAAATCTCAACGACAGCTTTAATATTCGCCTGGAACTGTTGTGATAAGGGTGTGTTTTGTGTGGTGTGTTTTGTTTTCTGTGTGTGTGTTTAACACGGGTGTACAGGGCTCTAACGTGTGTACCACTGGGTACACACCTACATAACATTGTACAAATGGTGTACACACCTAAAAACGGGGTACAACCGGGTGACACACCTACATAACGTGTTACAACACTGGTGACACACCTAAAACATTGTAAAACAGGGTTTACAAAACCAAAAACTGTGTACAACACGGTGTACACACCTACATAATTTTAGTTTTAATTTTTTTTTACAAAATTACCACAATTTTTGACTTAAAAAATTGAAAAACCAAATTTCATGTTTTTTTTTTTTTTTGCCTAAATCGTTTAAATTTTCTGTAAATATGTAATTTAAAGGGCAGAATTTTTTTTTAAAAGTAATCATATTGCAGCTATTTTTTTTATTGTGGCACCCGAAGTGTTTCTACGGTTTATTTTTCAGTGGGTCATTACCCCTTTTGTTGTCTACTGATTTATTTTTCAGAGGGTCACACCCTTTTGTTGTCTATGGGTTTTTGTTTAAAGGGGGCACTACCTTTTTTGTCTACTGGTTTTATTGTTAGGGGTCATACCTTTTGTTGTCTCGGGGTTTATTGTTAGAGGGGCACTACCTTGTGTTGTCTACTGGTTCATTGTTCAGAGGGTCATTTCCTTGTTTTCTACTGGGTTTATTGTTCAAGGGTCAAACCCCGTTTTCTACTGGTTCATTTCAGTGGTTTTTCCCTTTTGTTGTCTACTGGTTCATTGTTCAGGGTCATACCTTGTGTTGTTACGTTTTATTGTTCAATGAATCACTACCTTGTGTTGTCTACTGGTTTATTGTTTATGGGTCATTACCCTTTTGTTTTCTACTGTTCTTTTTCAGAGGGGCATTACCCTTTTGTTGTCTACTGGTTCATTGTTCAGTGGGTCTTACCCTTTTGTTGTCTACGGTTCATTGTTCAAGGTCACTACCTTGTGTTGTTACTGGGTTTATTGTTCAGAGGGCACTACCTTTTGTTGCTACGGGTTCATTGTTTAGAGGGTCACTGCCTTGTGTTTCTACGGTTCATTTTTCAGTGGGTCATTTCTTGTGTTGTCTACTGGGTTTATTTTTCAGAGGGTCCACCTTGTGTTTTACTGGTTCTTGTTTAGTGGGGCACACCTTGTGTTGCTACTGGGTTTATTGTTCAAGGGTCCTACCTTGTGTTTTTTACTGGGTTTATTGTTTTTAAGGGGCACACCTGTGTTTTTCAGGTTCATTGTTCAGTGGGGCATTACCTTGTGTTGTCTCTGGTTCTTTTTTCAGGGTCACTAACCTTTTTTGTCTACTGGTTCATTGTTCAGGGCACACCTTGTTTGTCTATGGTTCTTGTTCAGAGGGGCATACCTTGTTTGTCTACTGGGTTTATTGTTCATGGTCACTACCTTGTTTGTCTACTGGTTTATTGTTTAGTGGGGCATTCCTTGTGTTTTTTCACTGTTCATTGTTCAGAGGGTCACTACCTTGTTTGTCTACTGGTTTATTTTTCAAAGGGGCACTACTTTTGTTGTCTACTGGTTCATGTTCAAGGGGTCACACCTTGTTTGTCACTGGTTCATTTTCAGAGGTACTATTGGTTTTCTACGGGTTCATTGTCAGAGGGTCACACCCTTTTGTTGGGCTAGGTTTATTGTTTTAGAGGTCCTACCTTGTGTTTTACTGGTTTTATTGTCAGAGGTCAC